TCTTACACATCTCTCACTTGTTTTGAGTGCTTGGCAATGGCAATACTGATATAAAATCCCACCCTGAAGTGCAAGGGCAACCGATTTGTGTAGGGGGGATTGGTAGGCCCACCCAGAGGGCCAGAAACAGGTATTAGGGGCACACCATCTAGCAATTAACAGTTTGGCAGGGGCACAGGAGGGTGGTGCACTGCCCCAGTTCTACCACGCCTCACTAATGATGAAGTGCAACTTTCGTACTTTTAACTTTTTCCATGGGCCAAGGCCACAAAGCAGAGGCTGTTGCGAAGGTGGCTCCGGGCTCCAAGGCTACGTCTACACTGGCATGATCTTGCGCAAATGCTCTTTCTTTAACGCAAGAGTTCTTGCGTTAAAGTAGTTGCGCAAGAGAGCGTCTATATTGGCCGGGACTCATCATAAGAACGAGAGTGTCTACATTGGTGGGACACTCTTGCACAAAAGCAGGAGCCTGGAACCATTTTGGAGAGGGTAAAAGGGCACCAGCCCTTTCCAGGGGTGGGGGCTGGAGCTCCTTTGAGGCAGGTGCTTAAAGGGATCTCCCCGGACAGCCGTTTCTCTCCTGCTGTGAACTTTAGGACCTCTTGCAGGGATTGAGAGCCGTAGCAGTTCTAGTTGTGGTTGCCCTCCGCCTTGTTGGACACCACAGCTTGTGCCTTAGTGCCATTTGCTGATTTTTTGACCTCAGCTCTCTTCTTGTGCCATGGAGCCAGGGGTGGCCGTGTGCTCCTGCGCTCTAGAGAACCACCACCCAGCTGTGGGCACCCATCCCCGAGGACAAGAGGGTCGCCATCGCACTCTGGAAGCTGGCCACCCCGGACAGCTACCGATCAGTGTCACACCAGTTCGGGGTGGGCAGATTCACCATCGGTGCCATTGTCATGCAGGTAAGTGCTGAGGGGGGAAAGGGAGGGGAGGAGGGGCAGGAGAGGGTGCTGCACTCCATGACCAGGGGCAGGTAAGACTCCAGGCTGGGGTGATGGGAAATGCCTCGTCACCCAGGGCTTTGGGCCATCCTTCCCTTGCACAGGCCTGCTGGGGGGCAGGTGGCCCATAGGGCAAGGGGGCCCTGGTGTGTGTGTGAGGACAGAGGGCATCACGGGGGGGGACCCCCCAAGGGAGCATGCACTCACCCAGCCTTATGTCAAACATTCCCGTGTTTTTGTGCACCCTTCTGCAGGTCGTCCGTGCCATCAATGACATCCTGCTCCAGCGAGTCATCCGCCTGCGGGATGTGGAGGCTACAGTGGCCAGCTTTGCTGCCCTGGGGTTCCCCAACTATGGGGGAGCCCTGGATGAAACCCACATCCCTGTCCGTGCCCCAGAGCATCGAGCGGCCCATTTCATAAATTGCAAAGGGTACTTCCCTATAGTGCTCCAGGCCCTCGTGGACCACCGTGGCCGCTTCCTGGACATTTATGCGGGCTGGTCCGGCAGGGCACAACTTCCACATTCTCCTAAACTCTGGCTTGTTTGGCAGGCTAGAGTTGGGTACTTTCTTCCACCAGTGGGAATTTATTGTCGGGGACGTGCCCATGCCCACATGTATTGTCGGGGACGCGGCCTACCCCCTGCTGCCCTGGTTGATGCGGCCCTACATAGGACGGACAGACCACGACCGGGCACATTTCAATGACCGCCTCAACCGGGCCCGCATCCAGGTGGAGTGCGCCTTCGGCCGTCTGGAAGCCCGATTTTGCTGTTTGCTCACCTGTCTGGAGATGGGTGAGCGGAACATCCCCGAGATAATGGCTGCGTGTTCCATAACATCGTGGAGTGGAAGGGCATGGATGACAGGCGAGGACCAGGCCTTCGAACAGCCCCACACAGCTGCCATCCGCACCATGATGGGGTGCGCATACGGGAGGCCCTGATGGAGATGTTCTTCCAGGCCCCGCAGTAGGGTCGCCTCTGTCTCCCTTGACATCTCCCTCCTGTCCCCAACCCTTCTCTCCTCCCCTCCCTCTACCTCCCAACAAACAAACAATATAGTTTTTTTGGGAAAACATCTGGAACTTTTTATTTACAATGGGGGAACTGGGAGGGGGAGGAGGCTCTGAACTGTGAGGGGGGGAGCTATTGCTGGGAGGGGTGGTCCCTGCGACTGCCTCTGCGGGGGTGGACCACTACGTGTGGTTCAGGCAGCATTGGGGCAGGTAGCATGGGGAGTTGGGCAGGATGAGGTGCATCAGGAGGGGGCATCGTGGGAGCAGGAGGAGCAGCAGGAGGAGGGGGCATCATGGGAGCAGGAGGGGCAACAGGAGGAGGGGGTGGAAGGGCATGGATGACAGGCGAGGACCAGGCCTTCGAACAGCCCCACACAGCTGCCATCCGCACCATGATGGGGTGCGCATACGGGAGGCCCTGATGGAGATGTTCTTCCAGGCCCCGCAGTAGGGTCGCCTCTGTCTCCCTTGACATCTCCCTCCTGTCCCCAACCCTTCTCTCCTCCCCTCCCTCTACCTCCCAACAAACAAACAATATAGTTTTTTTGGGAAAACATCTGGAACTTTTTATTTACAATGGGGGAACTGGGAGGGGGAGGAGGCTCTGAACTGTGAGGGGGGGAGCTATTGCTGGGAGGGGTGGTCCCTGCGACTGCCTCTGCGGGGGGGGACGGACCACTACGTGTGGTCCAGGCAGCATTGGGGCAGGTAGCATGGGGAGTTGGGCAGGATGAGGTGCATCAGGAGGGGGCATCGTGGGAGCAGGAGGAGCAGCAGGAGGAGGGGGCATCATGGGAGCAGGAGGAACAACAGGAGGAGGGGGCATCATGGGAGCAGGAGGGGCAACAGGAGGAGGGGGCACGGGCATTGGCAGGGGAGGGATGGCGGGTGCATGGGACAATGCCATGCCATAATGCACAGCATGCCCAATGTGTGCAGTGAGGGTGGCGATGGTATCACCGATGCGCTCGACCTGGGCCTGGAAGTGGCCCCGGCCTGCTGGCGCCATTCCAGGTCTGCATCCACCTGGCGTGTGATGGCCGCCTCAATCCGTTTGATGGCCTGGATGTGCCGCCAAAGGAGTTGGTCCCGCTGCCGGAACAGTCGGCTTGCTGCCTCTGTGGTTGGGGGTGCTGCCACTGCCACAGGGCTGGAGGGTCCCCCACTGTTGCTTGATCCCACTGCAGGGAATAGAGGAAAGGATGGGTCAGTCAAGCACCCCATGCCCTCTGCCCCTGAGCCCAGGTGACACCACAGTACTGTGGCTTGGGCCCACTCATTCCCCGCGTGTTGTATGTTTGCATAAAGGACTTCCCCTGGAGTAAGGTGCTCCTCCATGTATTGTAACCAGCGGTCTGTGTGCTGGCCCCTCAGGGGGTGGGTGAGTGTGGGTGGGCGGTGTTAACCTGTGGAACTCCCTGCTGGGGGAGGCTGTAAGGCTTTGGGCTAATCAATGGTGTTTGACAGGGAGCAAGATGAATCCCCACACAGTGCCTGGGAGCATATATGGCCTACGTGGTTGGGGCTCTCAGATCCCCATCATGTGGATGTCTCCTGGATGGAACCAAGGGTGACTGGGGAGTGCACTATCCTTGCAGCAAAACTCAGGTGGCCCTAGGGCTGGCCTGAGCACTTCCCTCCTCCCTCTCCCGCTAGCCCTCACACACGGTAGCTCAGGGACATGTGTGGCTGAGTGGGGACTTCCCTCCGGGGGCCAGGGCAGAGGGGGAGGGGCAGCCAAGGCATAGGGAGCAGATGAGGGGCTCAGTGTGGGGGGGGGGCATGCTCACAGGGCTGTGTAGGGGCGCTTTTCCCAGGAGCAGCTGGCTGGGCCACACAGCCCAGGCCTGGAACAGTGTGCTGTTCTGTGTGCTGCACCCTTTGGGAGGTGTGGGCTCTGGCCTGAGCTGCTGGCTGGTTCCAGCCGGCATACACCCAACCCCCCCTGGTCCAGATGTGTGCGAGCTGCACAGTCCCAGGCGTGCCCTGGAAATGCCTGCCGCGGCCACACGCTGTTCAGTCACCAGGCTGCACGTGCTGCATACTGGTATGGTACACAGCGTGCAACTCACGCTGCCTGAGTGACGTGCCTTTCCCCTTCCTCCCAGGTGCCTAGCTCCCTCCTGCCCTTGTGAGTGCAAAGTGCAACACTCACCAGTGGATCCTTCCCTGGCCTCTGCTGACGCACAGGAGACGTCCAGGCTGTCTGAAAGGACCTCTAGGGGGAGGCTCACACTGCTCCCCTGGTCCTCCTCCTGCTCTAACCCAGGGGTCTCCAAACTTTTCAGCCCGAGGGCCGCATTAACTATCAAACAGCAGTTCGGGGGCCGATTACACACTTGAGGTCCAAATAAAAAACAATCAAAACATGGATGTTGTTTTTAATTATTTATTTAATATTATTTTATTCAGTTATTATTTAATAACACATTCATACACTACACATGAACACCTGTATTAGTGTGAATGGTGAAATTGTTTCCTGGATGCCAAAATAGCAGACATTTCTGGCTTTAGATTTGTTGTCCCTAACATCAACAGTGACCTGAGATTATCATCGGACAAGTTTGTTCTCAAATTGTTCTTCACATATTTCAGACGTGGGGAACTCAGCTGTTGCTTCAGCCATGAAGACCTTGCACTGCTGAAAGTGCGTCAAGTTGTTGGCCTGTACTTGTTCCAAAAACAAATTAGCAGCATGCCAGGCACATGCTATGGGGCACTGCATTAATGCACTGGGGAAAACTCACCCTTCAGGCCAGCGAGAAGAAATCCAGAGAGTGAGAAAAATACTTAAAAGGAGCAAGGGACAAATGAAGCATTAAAAATTAACATTTTTCCTCACCTAGAAGCTGATTTTAGGCACTAGATCTGGTGTTTTAGGAGAGATCTGAAAGAATTTAATATCGATTTAAATCAGGGGTCACCTTTTTAAAGTTCCCGCGGGGGTTCACGTTCCCCCGCACGTCGCCGGGCGGGCGTTACC